CAGGGACTGGTCTGACACACACAGCAAGCCCGAGTCATGGTAGAAGCTGGCCTGGTGCTCCCTCTGAGCCACATTGTTCCTCTGCACGGGAACAATCTCACAAAACACCAAACGCCAATGTCAGACAAGGTCACTCTGTGATGATAAGGGAGAGGAAGCAAGACCACAACGTCATCCAGGCACAAAGCAGGATCACTGTTTCAACTGCATGATACCACAAACACCCCCATCCCAGGTAACATGAGGGACTCTTGTCTTCACCAGTTGCAGCATCAGCCTCACTCTAACCTGACCTCTTTTGATTTGAAGTGAATGAACACACCCAATTCAAAGGTGTGACCCTACTTCCAGCCAGCACCCAACCCCAAGTGACCCCTTGCTTCTCTGCACCCTCCCAAATCATCTGACCAAAGCACAGATCCTGTCACCTTCCTGCTGAGATGCCCCACAGCTCTGAGGTGCGCCATGGTACACAGTCCCCCTGGGACAAGGCACATCCAACCTGACCCGTTCAACTACAGGGGTGTCTCTGGAGGTGTTTTGGCTGAAGGGCATCAAGCGTTGTCTCCTTCCACCAACTTTAGTATTTTGCAGAGTAAACTTAGACCCAAAAGAGTTTGCCTAAAGTTGTATTACTAATGAACTTCTAAGGCTTGCTAGAGAAACAGATACAGCAAATAACTTTCAGACAAGTGGAGAAGAAAAATCACAAATATTTATCTTTCACCTAAGTTTGGGAACACACCAAGACTTAGTATAAACTTAAAATGAGGGGTTTGGCATTACTTTCTGTCTACATTTCATTCACCTGATGTTCTTGTTTGGCAATCTGAACTTCATCTGAAGAGTAGTTGTTTGCTGCAAGAACAACCATACCCCAACGGATATTTGTCTTCTAATTAACAAAAATTGAAGCTATTACCAAAGCAGTTAGGTTAACAGTGAGTACACATATAATCTTCCCAGCTGCTCAAGACTGGCAAACTCACATCTTGCTCACTTAGATTATATGTTTTTCAAAAACCATCCTCACCCCTACTGACTTTGCCAGCTTTCTTCTCTCCACTACTGAAACTTCTAAAGCCACTGCTGCTTCTACTACATCAGTTCTGACCGTTATAGGAAGGTAGGGGAGACTGTGTTTAAATGAAGGAAAACTACCCAGAAAATGTGGGATAGGGCTGAGGCTACATATGCCTGAAATCTTGATAAAACCTTAACACCGGAATTTACAGATTTACTGATTTCCAGTCTAACACCAACTCTACTCCTTTCTTCTTGTTCCCAAAACTAACTACAGAAAAAAATGATGTTGCATTTCTAAAAATACTGAAAGCTAAGAGTAGAACAATAATTTGACATCTCATAAGAGGATCCACACCTAGAAAAAAATTATAAAATAACTAATCTTAATATACACGTTTAATGTATAAGGATATATACCTGCTTAAGTATAGTTACATAAATATGAAAAGGACTAAATATTTTAGAGACTAATTTGTTTCAAGCAATTTTGTAACTCACTTGAAGGACATCCCCCCCCCCAACTTTTACTCTGAAAAAGTTAAAACCCACTGAAGAGCTGTAAAAATAGAGCAATGTGGTTGGTGCACACCGAAAAGCCCCGCTATAGGAAGCTGAGGTAGGAGCCCAGAAGTTAAAAGTCAGCCCGGGGAACTTAGCAAACAAGTCATTGTCCCTAAAAGAGTCATAAACAACCGTATAATCTTATTTGGAGTCTTTCTCTGGCAGGGTATAGTCACTTGCTGCATACCAACAGTTTGCAAACTAAGGTTGTGTTCCCATGTAGCAACTGAGGAGTGCATTACCCATTTGTCCCATCATTGGTGATATTAAGCTTGATCACTGGTTAAGGTAACTTCCCCCCCCCCCCGACACTTTGAGACTATCCCCACATATATTTACATGTTTTAATACATGTAAATCTTTCACTCAATGGTTTTAGAATCAACTAATTAGTGACATTTCTAACTAGAAAAACAGTAAATTTGGAAGGACATGCTGATGGTGATTTGCAGGTTACTGAAAGGAACACTGTGAAACTCATCTGATTTAAGATTTTTACATTTGAATGCATGAAAATTCTGCCTTAAAAATAACTCTAAATAAATATTCAACTGTAAATAAATATTCAACTCTAATGCATGCCCAAGTGTTCAGTGTGTCCTGTACTAAAGTCTGCATTTTAAAAATTAGATAGTTGTATAACAGGCTAAGAAGTGACCATTTTGGTTATTTTAAATAATCCCTCCCAAAAATGTTAAAAAGGTTTATTTTCAGTTAAGACCAAGCTGAAAGTGAACTTAAAGTGCATATTTTTCTCCCTCTCTCTGCCCTCCCCACTGCCCTCAGAATACAACCCCTTTCTTTTGTGCCGGCATGGCCTTGTGCAGTGGTTTGGAAGGCCAATTTTATCTAACAAACTGGTGCTGGAGAAAACAGCTGAACCATGAGAAATGAAAAAGTTACACGTCTTTGAAAAGACCTTCAAGAGATAACACACAGACTCAATGGAAACTCCTTGCAACCCTTAAAGTGTACTCATTTCTTTAAATGTAAATCTCTCTTGTGGTATTCAGTTTAGATTCACGTCTTATGTAATCATTAGTTAGGTCATACGTGAAAAAGAACTTGCTGTTATAACTAAATAGAAAAGGTTCAGTTCAGGATTGTTTTAAAAAACAAGACTAATGCCCCCAGTGTCTGGAGGCAGCTGGCAGGGCTGCGTGGACCTTGGGACCCAGCTTGAGGTGGCCTGGCCGCCCCTGTGTCTCGAGAGCACTGGGACTGGTGGGTGGCCTTGACGTTGTCTGAGTCGTCCACGGTGTCTGCCCAGGAGTTCGCTTTGCTGACACTTTAGCACAGCACTCTTGCATCATAGTTGGGTTTTTTGTTTGTTTGTTTGAGTTGGGGTCTCACTCTGCTGCTCAGGCTGGAGTGCACTGGTCTATGCAAATAGATGCTGAAAAGACTAAACACTGATTAAAAAGGAACTTCAGGTATGGTCATGAGACACGCAGACACTTAATCAACAGTTGAAATAGATAAGACATTGCCTGTTATAACTATAAATACTGAATGTAAAATTTGCCTTGGGGAACAGGTTTTTTGGCCAATACCCGATTTGGTTCCGGTTTTCTTCTAGCTTCTGCCTCTCTCCTTTGATTGACCATGAGAGACTGCAGCTGATTGATAACAGCTGGATGGAAGAATAGATGGATAGCAAATATAGCAAGATGTTAACAGCTATGGAATGTAGGTGTCAACATGTGTCCACTACACAAGCATTTCCATTTTTCTGTAAGTCTTAAAGCTTTAACAAAAATTTGGATTCAAAAACAGCAATGAGGCCAGGTGTGGTGTCTCAAACCTGTAATCCCACAACCTTGGGAGGCTGAGGTTGGGGGACGGCTTGAGCCCAGGAATTTGAGACCAGCCTAGGCAACAGAGCAAGACCTAGTTTCCACAAAAAATACAAAAGTAGCCAGGCATGGTGGCACGCACATGTAGTCCCAGTTACTTGGGAGGCTGAGGAGGGAGGACTGCCTTGGGCCCAGGAGGTCGAGGTTGTGGTGAGCCGTGACTGTGCCACTGCACTCCAGCCTGAGATCTCGACTCAAAAAACAAACAAAAAATCCAACAATGATGCAAGAGTGCCGCCAGAACATCAGCAAAGCAGGCTCCTGGGCAGACACCGTGGACGACTCGGACAATGTCAAGGCCACCCACCAGGCCCAGTGCTCTCGAGACGCGGGGACGGCCAGGCCACCTCAAGCTGCGTCCCGGGGTCCGCGCAGCCCTGCCGCCTCCAAACACTGGTCTGAGGGTCCGAGCAGCCACGCCCGCCTGAAGTCCTGGGGTCCACGCAGTCCCGCCCAACCACCTCCGAACTGGGGCCCCAGAAGTGAACTGGACCGGGCTGCGTGCGAACCCGGGGACCACGCATCCCCATTCAGCCACCTCCGAACCGGGGCCCCGAGGGTCCACGCAGCCCCGCCCAGCCACCTCCGAACCGGGACCCCGAGGGTCCACGAAGTCCCGCCTGCCGGAGAGCCCGGGTCTCGGGGTTTCACGCAGCCCCATCCAGTCACCTCCGAAGTGGGGTCACGGGGCTCCACGCAGCCCCGCCCGCCTGAGAACCCGGGGCCCGCGTACCACGCAGCCCCGCCCAGCCGCCTCGGAGCCCGGCCTCAGTCTGTCGCAGGACTCACTCCATCACCCGGTTCCCAGAACTCAGATTGCGCAGTGGTCTCGTCATCATC